AGGGCCAAGGTATGCTAATGTGTACTTAGATCAAGCATCTGAGGAGACTTACGCTTGGGCAAGCAGGGCTGTGGTACCCACTTATATCATGACCCATGGTGAGAGACTGGCTCACCAGACCACTGTCCCAATATATCTTCTTGAGGGGTGGGAAAAGAGAGCAAGGACATTTTCCCAGGATCTCTTGCTGCTAGAGTTTGAGAGGTGATGCAGACAATCGAATGCATTCAACCAACCCCACGACTAGACCTGAGCTGAGGGAGGTGGAGGTGGCAGTACAAAGGGCATCCACTTTCTGGTACACATGCAGGTAGTTACTTTGCAATACTGGAGTTCCTACTCCCCACATCATGGCAGTGATGACACAACTGCACTATTCTCTGGACCTTAACTAACATATTTGGCTAAAATGTTTGTTTACTGCAGCTGAACCCCAGAATTAACACTTCAGCAGCACCCTCCCACTGCCTCATCCCTCTGAACCTGTCATACTGTGATTCTGAAGCATATACTGTGTCTCATCTGGAATGCAGCCTCCACCTGGCCAGCCAGGGTCCTGTTAGATTAAGCTGCCAGCTTCATGACTTTATACGCCAGGCCCGACTCTTCTCTGCACACACACCAGCACTGCCTCCACTGGAGTGTTCAAGACTTCCTGGAACTGCTGCTTTTGCATCCTGGGTGCTGCCCTCACTACCAACCACCTTTGCCTTTTGATCCACCTTCAGGGCAGATTCAGGGCCAAGCACAGTTTGAATGAGGTACGTCCCAAGGGCAAACAAGCCTGCGGCTGAGATCCCTGCCTGCAAATCTGCTTTGAAGCAAAAAGTCAACAGTGACTCCCAAAGAATACGAGTTTTAGGGCACAGAAAACTGGGGAGATGCCTGTGAGAAATTCTTTCTCTCCTTGGTGGTAGAACTATTGGAACTGCACTGAAGTAGACAAGATTAGGTTGCAGAGAATATGAACTGTGCCACATATTGTAGTCCTCCTATTGTGAAGAAAGGCTTGGATCAGTAACAAAATATCATTAATGACAGATCACAAGAGAAGCTGTGAGGCTGTATGGGATTTGCTACCCATTCCCCAACCATGTGTCCACAGGGGCTGTCCATCCAGCACAGGAGCACAGCCTCCATTTTGAGCAAAATACATTGTTTTTATCTTAAGAGACTCTTGACTTACAATGGAGGCAACAGAAGCTCATGACTGAGTAGCTACACAATAAGGAACACAGGAGAAGCCAGGGAAGAGAAGGCGGGCTGTAGGCCAGTGCATCCCAGGAGTAGTATGAGGGTCTATGGTACTTCAGCACCAAAAGACAATGATTTATACCTAGACCATTACTGTACTTGTAAGTTACTGCATTTCAAAGAGATCCAAGTAAGCGAATCTCACTAGATCTGAAAAGGTAACAGGAACTTCCCTAGAGAAAGGATCTGTCCTATATCATATTGAGCCCAAAATCATTCCTAAAAGTCAAACCCAATTCTTCTGCAATTTGCTGCCACTGCTACCATCAAAGCCATGGCCTGCTCCCCCAGGGTGAGTGGCTCTAGTTACTACCTTGTTTGGCTTAGGTCAAAAGATTTTTAAAAATGGACAAAATTACAATGAAATATGACTTGATACCCATGAGGATAGATATAAGCAAGATGAAGAGTAACAAGAGTTGGCAAGGATGTGGAGAAACTGAGACATGCATTACTGATGGGGATGTGAAAGAGTGTGGCTGCTATGGAAAACACTCCAGCAGTTCCTCAGATAAACGGCACTCCCATGTGGTCCCGCTAGTCCACTCCTTGGCACATACACAAATGAAAACATCAGCCCACACAAAAACTTGTACATGAATGTTCACAAGCAACACTATTCATAATAGCCAAAAAGTAAAAATAACCCTGCTATCCATTAACAAATGATTAAACAAATATGATATACCCAGTCAATGGATTGTTTGGTCATAAAGGGAATGAGGTACAGATACATGCTGTGATATCAATGAATCTTGAAAGCATTATGCTAAGTGAAAGAAATCAGACACAAAATGCCACATATTGAGTGATTCCATTTATCAGAATTATTCAGCATAGGCAAATCTTTAGAGATAGAAGACAGACAAGGGTTTGCCTGGGTCTGGGAGAGGGGGAAGGGAGGTACTGCTAATGGGTACAGGGTTTCTTTTGCGGGAGGGTAGTAAAAATGTTTAGGAATTAGATATGGTGATGGGTGCACAACACTGAACGCACTGAGTTGTATACTTTGAAAGGGTGAACTGGGTGTGTAAATTCTCTCAAAACTTTTTTTAAAAAAGAGGAACAGGGTTATTAAGGCTCTAATTTGGGAATTTTATAGGACACACATTTGGAACATTCCTGCATGTTGTTGCTGATTACTCACTGCTGAAGAGAAATAGCCCAAACTAAAACAAGCACCAACAGCTTGACTAGGTTCCTCAAGGTCCTGTTCAACACTTCCCACCCCTCTCCACACACCCATAACACCTTGGCACTCTTTCTCGGTGTCCCTGATGCAAAGACACACCGATAATGGCTGATGCTGCAGATGAATCACTGAATTTTCAGTTTTCAGAAAACAGAATTAGGTATATCAGATGATTAAAATATACAGTGAATATTTAAATTTTTAAAAAATTCAGTGAAACACACTGTCACTAATGTCCCTCAAAATATTCCCTACTTTGAACACACATCCCATGGTTCTTGCCACTCTCTGAAGCAGTTCTGGAAGTCCTGTTTTGTGTGTGGCTTTGTGAGGTGTGATCAAAAATATGGGGTGGTGCTGCTAAGTGCCATCTAGTGGAAAGGCAAGAATAGTGTGGTGTGTCTTCCTCATCCACTTCATTCACTTCTGGCACTGTGTGACTTCTAGCTCTTTCCTAAAGTTAAAATGACCATAGAAGGTAAATGTTTTGAACTGATTTATGACATAAAGACAGTCATGCAAGAGAACTTCAGAACTGCTGTGGAAAGTGTTAAGAATGATGGGATAAATGTGTTTGAAGCAAAGAGAAGTATTTTAAAGTTTACTTGAAAAAGTAAAAGCAAAGAGAGAGAAACTGGCTCTGCAGAGTGAGCTTGGGCCAAGTAAAAGAGCTAAAAGCAAGATAAAAGAACACCCTGGAGGGGCTGGGGATTTAGCTCAGCGGCAAAAGCACCTGCCTGGCAAGTGCAAGGTCATGAGTTCGGTTCCCGGTACCGGAGAAAAACCAAAAAAAAAAAAAGAACACCCTGGAGAAAGCTATTGTGAAGAAAGCCATGATAGCAAGTTCTTGGCATCTGTGCTCTTTTATACTGTCCAAATCTTGAAACCTGTGAGCACTTCTAGATACAGGTTCTGAGAGGTGGTGCTGGGATCCCATGCCTCAGGATGAGCTTTGGTCTAGGCAACATATTGAAAGCCTGCTTGAGTTCTCACGAGAAGTCCATGTGCAGTTCATGCCTGCTTCCCCAGCCAGTTTTTCCATGTCCTAATCTATCTCCTTTCTCCTTGAGACACACAAATCCCCATAATTCTTCAAAGGGGGATATTTTGAGGGGGTTTAATGGTAATGTCTTTCACTGTAAAATTTTTTTCTAAAACCATTCCTTTTATTTTTTTATCATAACATGCATATGACTACCTTTTTAACCTTTGTTACTAGAAGGTCTAAATGGCAAATTTATTGTTTGAATTTTCTTTTTCTTAAGTCAGATTCTCAAAAGTTATATACCTTTCCTGTATCTACCCGATGATGTTTAGTCTACCATTCCATTAAATGCTTACAGGAGAAGTTTTCATGAGCAAATTGCTCCAGACCCTTTTGGTTACAGTTTGGTCCAATTTTAAACAAAAACCAACATTCTACTGCAACCCCCCCACCCCAGCTATCCCTTCAGGGAGAAGGTTATGAGTAATGATGGCCTTCACATCTCTGCCCATTTTCTGGGTCTTTTTCCAGAAACATTTCAAGGTGGCTGGCCACGTTTCTGGAGTCGGTTATTGCATTACTGCCTGACAAGGGGAATGCCAGGGAACACGCTCAGCTAGCCTGATCACCCAGCCCCAGCCCCACCTGAGCCTGGCCCTGCTGGGCAGACAGGCAGTCCTCAGTTACAGAAACTGACCTAGCAGACGATCTCAGAATGGCTATGGTTGCCTGCTGCCTACAGGTAAATGGTATGTCCTAATTTGGGGAAAAGAATCCAGGGAGCTGAGCTACTGCTAAAATATGGGTTGTCAAGTGCTTCAGTCTTGTGCCTCCTGGCCTGGTGATCTCTCTCACTGAAGCCTTGGGGCTCAGCATGCTCATACTTGATAGATTCAGGCTGCAAAGAACCTGGAGAATGCCAAGGACCAGAGGGTCCTGGACACAGTACACATCTGCAAAACACTGGGCTCCCTGCCCCTTGGAGCCTGTGCTCTTGGCTAGGCCCCAACAGGGACAAGAAACACAGTTACAGACTCTGTAGGTAAGTACTACATAAGTCCTGAACTTTCACTCTTTTCCTCTTGCTCTAGGCCCTAAGTGGTGTTGCCTTCCATGAGAAGAGGTCCAAGTACTTTAGAGCAGGAAAGGCACTTCTCATTTCTGATTTTCTTAGGGTTGCTCAGCAAGTTATGGGGCAAAACTAAGACCAGCCTCCAGGTCTGCTCTGTTTATTCCTTTGTTCATAGGCCACTGCTGCCCAGGCACAGATGGTCCAGAACAGGAGTGATGCATGTATTTTGCCCTCACCAGAATGCTGTAGTCTTTCACAGTGTGCCTGTCCTGGTGAAAGTCACTGCAGCCTATGGCATTTCCAGTCACACATTTCTATCTACACAGCATGACCAGGGCCCATTTTAGTGATGTTGGGAGCAATACCAAAACTTATAAAAGGAAGGTCTGAGAAACAAGAATGAGCCCTGAATATAAAAAGACTAATTAGTCCAACAAAGACTCAAAGTTTGAAGTTTCTGAACTGGAAGGAGCTGTTAATAAAGAAGGAAAATGGGAAACCGGCAACATGAATTTTGTATTGACATTTGGTTCTTAATAATAACATCCAAAATGCATTCTGTTCTTAAAGCACTGCAACTCAGGCTGTACGGGGTAGAAGGTGTGAGTTGCCGGAGTCTCCCATGAGAACCAGGGAGGAGCTGGTGGTGAGACACACACTGACTTCTCTTTGTGACCTATGTACAGCCAGGTGGAGAACTGTAGCAGGTGCCTTGCCTTGAAGAAGCAGGGAGGAGGCAATCCCAGCTGACCTGCAAATACATGGGCAGAGTCCCTTGCTCCCAGCCTACAAGAACACAGCTGCTGGTGGGGCCAGTGGTGGCAGTTACAGGAAAGTAGAGGGGAGGCTGGGAGGTTACATTCTTGAGGCCTTCACAGGTACATGTCATCGAAGCCCGGCGGAGGGAGATGGTCTGGGTTGGGTCTGGAATGGAAAATGGGTGAGCTGCAGGGATGAAAAGCAAGGCACACAGGCAGACACAGCTCTGCATGAGGAAGCCTAGCCTCTGGAATGGCACAGTGGCTTGTGGGGCTTAAGGCCCAGAATGCCTGGGTTCGAATCCTGACTTTCATACTTTGGCTCAGTTACCTAATGCTTGGGACCTCAATTTTCATATCTATAAGATGTGGACAGTACCATCTATCCAAGACTGCTGACATAGATGCAGTGGGTTTCTGACATTTCCTTAACTCTGTGCTAGTTCTGCCTCCTCCTCTGAGTCTTCCCTGATAAGAATTAGGGGAGGGAGAAATGGAGGGATAGGGAGCTTCTGGAAGGCTCCAGGGAGACAGCTGGCAGGGCTAGAGGAGGTTCCTCTCTCTGAGCAGCCACGGGTGGTGGCAGTGATGGCTCTGCACTGGGTATCAGACACATTTGCTGCTACACTGCCAAGGTGAACTGAGCTGTTACTTCTCAGCCACCTGAGTGGATACTTACCCAGAGGGGCTGGTTCCAATGGGTCCAAAGGGGTCAAAGCGAGCTCCTGGGGGAACTGCACCTGGAGGAAGCCGGTTTGGAAGACCCGAGGATGGATCAATAAGTGCTCTTGGGAAGCCAGACCTCAGGGGGTCCACGATCATGCCACCTCTCTGGAACCTGATGCAAGAAAGAAGATGGATAGGCAGCTATGGTAGGGATTGCCCTTGAAGAATTGTTGAGCCAGTTGGAAAAGGACTAACAATGACCAGGTCTACTTTGGATGGTCCAGCAGACAGCCAGCAGGAAGTGGGCAAGAACAAGAACATGCAAAGAACACCTTCACTGGTGAACGGGCCTGGGCGTTGGATTCTATAAGGCTCCCCAAACCTGCAAAATTGAGCTCTGTATCACATGCTACACACCAGGGATGTAAAACAAGGATGTTTCACAGTGGTCCTTGGTACAGATTAACACTGACCACATTACAATGGCATGTGGAACAAAAGCTAAAAACTTGGAGAATCCCAGTTCTGATGAAGAATACGAGCTAGAAATGGCCAGAGTCAATGTGAACTGTCACAGGATCTGGCTCTGTGGGACCTAAAGGCCTAAAGACTAACAACAGCATGGCAGTAACTCAGTAGGCTAGTTCTTGTACTGTCCGCCGGGCCGCAGGGCAGTTTCAGACTGTCCCTGAAGTCAGGCTCCTGATGGCATCTGTGCCTCAAACAGTTCTATGACCTCATGTGCTCAAACTAGGAAGAATAAGCTGATATTTTCCTAAAATTGTGAGGTCATTATTTGAACTACACTGTAAACAAGTGATTTCTCCACTGGCTGAAAATGAGGTGCTACACATTGGGGTCACTTTGTAGCAGAGGTTAAAACAAGTTTAAATCATTCAGAGATCTGAGAGCATGGCTAAGGCTGTGTAATAACTTTGCTGGGTGCATGACAGGCGTCACAGAGACTAATGGGGCTCTGAGAGTCTTAGTCAAGTGAGGTAACCCCTGAGCTGCCTTAAGTCTGTTGCCCAACCCCATGTGCTCTTTAACCTGCACTTCAGTAAATCCTTGTGCATATCCTTCCATCCAGGGAGACTACCATCCTTGACCAGGTGTGGGGGACTGAGAAATGACACTAGAGCTGCCTGCTGGGTGTGCCCAAACCCCTCAGCACTGAGTGCCCTTCTGCGCTGCTCTGGGTATGGCAGAGCACAGAAAGTGGCAGTGACTTCCCAGCTGCTCAGCAATATCTGCCTCCTCCACCTCCAAGGAAGAGACTGATGAAAGCTCTAAAATTAGAAGATGAGCTAGGGTTGAAAGCCACAGAGTAAATTGTGTTGCTGCCACCTCTCCAGCAATACTCACCCAAAGGGGTCTAGGTCTTCTCCCCCGACAGCAAAGGGGCCCAGGGGATCAGACCTGAAACAAACAAAGGACAATTACTGCAGGCTCCAGAGCAGCTGGGCACCCAGGTTCCCACAGGGCCAAGCCTGACGCCTGTGGAGTCCCAAATGCACTCCCAAGTACGGGGACAGGGAAGACACCTGCATGAGAACACAACACAAAGATGTTTCACAGTGGTCCTTGGTACAGATCAACACTGACCATATTACAATGGCAATTATGTAGAACAAAAGCTAAAAACATGGAGAATCCCAGTTCTATAGAAAGTAAAAAATATCAAGAGTGGTTATCTTCAGATAAATTTTATTCTATGCATACCTTCCTCAAGTTCTGAAACTTTGTAAAAAGAATCAAGAATTCTTACATCAGAAAAATATTACTCTAAAATGAAAACAAAAATCACAAGGCTAAGATTTCAAAGCCTCCAGGTGGAGTAAGATAGAGGTATAAAGTCACATACACTAGAACAGTGTTCTCAGCTTCTCGGTTCCTTATAGTGCTCACGTGAGTTTTAGGACCACTGAACACTATGCATCTGTTTATTCACTCTGGCCTGCTGGATGGCTACAGGCCACAAATCTCTAAGATTCTCTTCACAGCAACCAATTTTTTCCTTCATTGAGAATGCTTGAGCCAAAACGAGCACAAATGAGTGTATGCTTTCTGACAAAAAATTCTATATTGTAAGGTATAAGATATAATGTATTTTTAAAAAATCTTATACACCTTCACATTCTAACCAATAACTTTATGCCTAGTTAGCTATCTTTAAAGTATACAGAAATCAAATTTATACCACAGACTTCCATCAGGGAAACTGGAATCTGCCCAAAGGGGGCCAGATAGGTACACTGTGGTATAACCCTATATACAGCCATAAAAACAACAGAAACAATAGTCCTAGAATACTTCAAAAATAGATGTGGAAACTGCTCATGCTCTAGTGCAAGTGTGGGAAAAAGAGGATTACTAGTAGCTTAGAGAAATCAACTGTAAAAATGTGGGTATATGTGTAGGGTGGGGCATGTATGGATGAATAAAATGACAGAAAAAATACTAGAAGTGTAAACAGTGATAGTCACTCCTGGGGAGTTTCCTTTTTATATTTTCCATCAAGGATATGGATGCAATAAGATAAGAAAGATTTTATATTTTAAAATGTGTGCTTTGGAATCTGCTTGAAGCCCTGGCAAGCAATACAAACTTGACAGTTCTGGGGCATGGACAGGCTCCTGCCAGATTAGGAAAGCCTCATATGCAGCAACTAATCTGAGCTTACAGGTAAGAAGTCATTAATTAGAGAAATGGGAAGAAATTCAAAAGGAAGCACTTCTCCAGACAGTTCCACCACATGGGCTGGAAAAGATACTGCAACTGAGGTGGACAAGGCCAGGACGTCAAGGGAAGGAAATTTTTTCTAATCTGCGTTACCACCCCTTAGCCATGGTTCATGGAGCCAGGAGTCACCGTTTCTAGAGGTCGCCAATATGTGGCCTCTGGAGACAGGCCAGGTGGTACCTGAGGGCAGTAAGCATTTTACTGAACTCCATGAAGTGCCCCTGGCAGAGCAGCGGATGCAAGGGCTTCTACTGGCTGTTAAAATGCCTGCGAGTAAAAAGCCTGACTGCTCCTGAAACGTGCAGCCATTTCTATTTTTCTCTTTGGATGCCAGCCTGTATAGGCAAGGGAGAGGAAATAGAACAGAATAGAAAGGCCTATACCAACAATTTGTTTATGTGAAGTTGTCAGAGAATATTCTGTAGGCTCTTAACACAGGTTTACTGCAACATACACACACTTTTCAGAATTCACTATGTACATGCTTAGTGAGTAAAATAATAATAAAGAGCCCAGAGGGTCCGACTTTCTCTCCACAGCTCTGCTGTCCAAATATCAGTCTTAGATGTACTGAATAAGGGCTCTAGGGATTGAAAAAATCATTTCTATTCAGGAACCCTCAACTTCAGCCCCACTCCCCATCATCTGGAGATGTATTTGCATTTGGGAGGACAGACAGTAGACTGTGGTAGGCAGAATTTGGCCCTCCTCAAGATTCCACACCTACTAATCCCTGGAACTTGGGGAAGTGATGTGAAAGCACTCTTTTGCCTGCTTTGTTACAAGGCACTGCTGACCTCAAAAAGAAGCGATTATCTAGAATCTGTAACAGAGAACTTCCTCAGGCTAGTGGCAGAAGAGGAAGGCAAGAGAGGGGGCTGCGATATGAGGAGGTCTTGAAACACCATTGCTGGCTCTGAAGGTGGAAGACAGTACATGAGAAGAAATGTGAGAGGTCTTATGGAGCTGAGGGAGACAAATGGGACCTTTGTCTTAGAACTGAGTGAAATGAATTCTGCCAGTGATCCAAATGAAGTTGGAAGTAAACTGTTTTCTAGAGTCTCCAGAAAAGATTGTAGCCCTGATGAAACTTTGGCTTTGGTCTTACGATATCCTGAGCAGAGTTCAGCTGAATGTATCTATACTACTGACCTGAAGAATTATTAGATACGAGGTTGTGCCAATTTTTTATGTAGTAGTAGAAAATTAATACACATATGCTCTATTTACCTTCCCCAGGGTACCTGCCTTATAATTTGGTTTAAATTAGCTTACAAGTATTATGAAGATGTAAATGGATTATTTATGTATGTATGTATGTATGCATGCATGTATTTTTGAGATAGTATCTCATTATGTAGTTCAGGATGCCCTTTAACTCACTATGTAGCCCAGGCTGATGAATTGATCCTCCTGCCTCAGCTTCCCACATGCTGAGATTATAGGCATGTACCTCCGCACCCAGCTATGAAAGTTAGTAAGAATGCGTAATACAAATTTTTGGAGCATTTTAAAAATAGAGACAAAGAGTCTCTATGAATCTATGCATACAGACACAATGATCAGGATTAAAAATAAATTTAAAATCCCAAATAAGAACAATATTTAAAGATTTATTTTCACTGAAGCTAATTAAGCATAGGAAAAACTCATTTTGCAAAACAAGGTACAGTATTTGGGGCAGACAGTTCCCTGACTATCTGAGGACTCTCTGAGGAGCAAAGGGAAGTTGGTTAGACTTACAATGACAACAACAAAAAAAAGTTAGGCTCAGATGAAAACCAAATAAAAAACCCTACAAACAAACAAGAACATAAACCTTCACCTACAGATAGGTTCCTTTCAGTGACTGTTTCCTTATGATCTCAGAAATAGGACAGATTCACTGTCCACCTCCAACCCCCCTTCCAAAGCACTGCCCTCTCCAGTTGTACTCCTGGGCCAGACACCCAGTAGCCCACTCTCCCTTGACAGGCTCTGGACATATCGCACTGCATTTAGGAAAACAAATCTCTTTATGTGCAAGGGCAGACACCCTAAATTCAGTTTGCATTTGGAGGCTTGCAGGTAAAATATGAATATGGAGAGGTCTGTGTCCTGTGGGAAGGGGGAGAGGTCACTTCTGCTGCTTGGATCATCAAACCTGACTGTTTGGGCACGGGGTAATTTATTTCAGGTCTAAAAGTCTTCCTCAACTTGACGACTGTCTAGGGTTTAGCCATACTCTGATTAGACTACAGGCAGAGCATTACAAAGTTAGTGAGGATGCCTAGATGCCAGCCCTGGTTCTGCCTCCTTATTAGTGATTGGTGACCTTAAACAGGTTCTCAACCTTTCTTTTTTATTTTTGGTTTTGGTTTTTTTTCCGGTACCAGGAATTGAACTCATGACCTCGCGCTTGCCAGGGAGGCCCTGTGCTGCTGAGCCAAATCCCCAGCCCCTTCTCAATCTTTCTAACCACTTTCACTGGTCTCAACATTCTCCACAGGACCCAGTACTTTCAAAGATTTTGCTAAATAGAATTGACAATTATTACTTAGAATATTTTTTCTCTATTTTTACTACCTAAAAGCATATAATTGCAAACCAGGATTTTAAAAAACTGTAGTTAACATTCACTGAGTGCTTATTCTATGCCCCACAGTGAACTTCCCTCCAACCCTGCCAACCCTACATTTACCACCACATTGTGGGCCTCACACTGGGACGTGTCATCTCAACTACAGACTAAGGTCTTTGCTCCTCCCTCCTTCAGAGCAGAATCTTCTAGTCCTAATGTTGCCATCCTAATCTGCAAAAGCCCTGGACAGCCAGAGAGCTCCAAAGTACTGTGCATCACCCAGACAGCAACTCTGTACTATTACACAGAGAACTGGCCCTGGGAAAGGAGACAGGCAGCCTTGGGTAGAAAGGGTGACTAGCAGCAGAAAAAAACTCACTGATCCACCTATGTGTCCATTTTCTCTTGCTGCACACCAAAAGTTTGGTGATTCTATTGAAGACACATGGGGGCCAGGGAGGAACCAAGTGGCAGGATCAGGGAGGGATGTGGGGCTGCAGAAGCATAGACTGACCACTGGGGCCCTCTGTACTCACCAGGGAGGTTGCCGGCTGGTGTGTGGGTGGTGTGGAGGAATCCGGAGAGGGTCTACCTCTCTGGCGGTGGCAGGAGGGAACTCCCTATGGGTACTGCTTTCACTAGCCTTGTCCCACTGCTCATGGAGAGGTGTGATGATTCCAGATATGATGCGAGACCGAAGCTCTTCACTGTTCTTATAGGTCCTACAGAAAGCAGATGGGGAATCAACAGTTTGCTGTTGCTTGTCAACCTTGGATACAGTATTCTGGCGGCGACGACCTGGGCGGCGGCCCTGACGGCTCTCAGCTTGTGCTTGGCCTGTCTGTAAGGGTGGGAACAGGCCATCCAGTGGTGGACTGAGGTGAGGGGAGACAACTGCCCGGCGTCGTCTCCTCAATTTGGGTCTGACCTTCCTAGGCATCTGAGCTGCCCCTCCTCATTTACCACCCCATTAGAAAGAGGTAAGGATATAGGGGCACAGGGCTGGACTGGCTGCTCCTCTGTCCCCAACCCTCCTGCAGCTCCATTGTGTGGTCATCATGTGTCATGGGAAGGGTCACTGAAAACAAAGGCTCCATTGGGAGGTTCCTGCTCAAGCTCCGATGGCAGGTTCCTGGTCACGGTGGGCAGGGCTCTGGGGCTCAAATTCAGTTCTATCAGTAATCCAAGGATCCTTAGAAGACGGCCCCTACTATCTGTCCCATCCTGCCAGGACCTCTTTCCTCTGCTGTGTGAGACAATATAAGGTACAGCTGAAGCACAGCAAGTGGGCAGGAGTCTAGGGCTCCTAAAAACCTGGTAAATGAGTCATATCCTGGGCCATAAAGCAAACTATTCAAGTAAAATCATTCAGAATGTTCCTTGACCACGTGGAGTCACACTAGGAATCAAAACAGAAAGGAAGTCTTTGAAAAGTCTTCTATGCAAATTAACACACTTCTAGATAATCCAAAGGTCAAGAGGAAGTCTTGAAAAAAATGCACAGTACTAAATTGAAATAAAAATTCACTTATTAGAATATGTGGAATACAGCTAAACCATTGTCCAGAAGAAACTTTATAGCACGGAATGCTTATATTAGAAAAGATCTTAAATTAATCATCAAAATTCTGACCTCAAGAACTTAGAAAAAGAACAGCCAATCAAACCCAGAGCAAGTAGAAATAGGGAAATAAGAGCAGAAATCAACAATATTGATAAAAGGAAAACAGAGGAAACTAAGGAATCAAAAAGCTAGCCCTTAAAAACTGGATAAAATTGACAAACTTCTAGTAAGATTAACAAATGTGAAAAGAAAAAAGGTAAGGTTTGTACCACTGAAGAGACAGTAAAGCAGAACTCAGAGCTCTGTAAAATCTTCCCAGTACAGGCAAGCAACTCTTGAGGCAGCTCCCTGCTCAGGAGTATGGACCTGTGCTTTCTAACTAGGTCCGGTGCTTTTCTCATGGATAAGGGAGACTTCAGGTAGTTCTCTCATGGGAATCTCCTCTCTTACAGGGGTAACACTGGGTACCAATACTGATAAAACTAACAAATGGGGTTATAAACAAGCTTCACAGCATCCTAACATTCCAAGATGCACAGGATGTGTTTTCTTTCAAGACTAAGATAGGGTTAGCTGTCTTTGTTTCACTTCTGTATCTTTACTTGCTTGACATCACAAATTGTATAAAAGGGGACCTCTCCTTCGTTCAGGACCCAGCCTAGTTTTGAGTATCTAGAAGCTGGGATGGTGCACCATTAAAATCCTCTTCAAAAATCCCTCCCGGTCTCTCCCATTTCTTAGAAATTCTATTACAGTAAGAAAATGTTAAGAATGACTTCACTCAACAATTAATTCTTTAAAAACCATGAACTACAACTCAGTCAAAATTAAATATACAATCTGAATAATTCTAAAACCTTCAGTAAAAATTAATAAATTGAATAAAAAATGTATGAACAAGTTTTATGAATATACAAAATATATACATACAAATATATAAACAATAAAAAAGGTATAAACAACAAACAAAGTTGGGCATGGTGGTGTATGCCTATATTCCCAGCATTAAGGAGGCTGAGGCAGAAGGATCCCCTTGAATTTGAGGCCACCCTGGGCTACACTGTAAGTTCAAGCCAGCCTGAACTACACAATGAGACCTTGTCTCAAAAAGCCAAAAAAACAACAAATAAAAAACCGCCACAACCAAGCAGGATTTACCCTAGCTATGCAAGACTGTTCTAATATTTACAAGTCAATGTAATCTATATCAATACTCTAAGGAAAAAACTAGATGACCATATCAATTGGTAGAGGAAAAAAAATTTAACAAAATCCAACATGATAACTATGATTTTAAAAATTCACAACAACTAACAATAGAGGGAAGTAACTGAGAATTTCCTTGGCTTAATAATAAAGAATATCTATTAAAAAAAAACCTACCTCTATAAATATATTTAATGGTGAAAGACTGAATACTTTGTCTTTAATAACTGGGAACAAGGCAAGTGTCTCACTACACTGATTTAACATAATATTGCAACTTAGAGGCGGCACAATAAGGCAAGAAACACAAGAGGCATTGATATCAGAAGTAAGGAGTAAAACTGTCTCTGTTTGCCGATGACTTAATAATCTACCTTGACATCTGCAAGGAAATCTACCAAAACTCACTAGGTATTATATGGAAATATCCTTGTTTTTTTGGTACTTGGAATCGAACTCAAGACCTTGTGCTTGCCAGGCAAGTTCTGGGCCACTGAGCTATATCTCCAGCCCTACTAGGTATTATATGGAAATGAACATTAAAACCATAATAAGATATCACATCTAATAGAATGACAATAAAGCTTGTACATGAATGTTCACAACACCTTTATTCGTAGTAGTCAAAAACTGGAAATAACCCAAATGTCATTTAACTAGTGAATGGTTAAACAGTGGGATATACATACCATGAAAGTACTAGTCAACAAGAGATACAAATTATTATCTTTTTTTATTTGTTTGTTTGTTTTTGTTTTTCTCTGGTACTGGGAACTGAACTCATGACGTTGTGCTTGCCAGGCAGGCACTTTGTCGCTGAGCTAAATCCCCAGCCCGAGATACAAATTATTAATATACAAAACTCAGGTGTATAATTATACCTAAGTAACTGGTTGTAATGTTGTATAGGGTTTTGTATGATGTTACCTTTGGGGTTAAATGTATAAAGGCTAAAAAGGGCCTCTTATGGTTTGTGTCTGGATGTTCCCCCAAAGCCTCATGTGGTCATGGGGGAGCAGGCTTTTACAGGGTAGTTGAATCTAGAGCTTGTGATTGGTTCATTGTCTAGTGCTGGGATTATGGATGTGAGTGCTACACCTGCCATAGGGCGGGTAGCCTGCATACAATATAAGGGTGATAAAGAGGCTTGCTCCTTCCCTTTTGCTCTTGCTGCTTTGCTGTCTTCAGCCACCTCAGCTACCATGCCATGAACTGTTGCCCCTTTGCAATGCCACCCTGCCTTACAGCCAGCCGATTGTGGACTGAAACCTCTACAAACTGTGAGCTAAATAAATCTTTCCTTCCTTTAACTTTGGGTGTTGGGTATTTAGTCCTAGCAATGAAAGAAAAGCAACTAAGAGTCTATTACTTCTTACAACTGCATATTAAGTCTATAATTACAGGATCTCAAAATAAAAAGTTTAATTTAAAAATACTTTTATGTATCACCATAAAATACATGGGGACTCAAGGAGGACAAGTGGAGAAACAAGGTGGATGAGGCAGGGACCTCTATTCCTGCCCTGACCCTTCCCACCAGAGCAACTCCATTCCTACCAGCATATGTCAATCCTGAAGAATGCTATGCATGAAGAAAGAGTCCCATAGTTGAGAAACATAACCACTTAAATGGCTTGGAAGCCCTATGACCGGTGGCGCATATAAACCCTGCACAGATCATGTTCCTATCTGAAACACAGAACCTGGAGGACTCTGTTGCTTCCCAAGCTAGGTGGGAAGAAATGTAACTCCTATTCCCTTTCAATCACATGAGCTGGGAGTGGTACAGGTGGGAGGCCTCTAAGACCACCCACGTAGATGTTTACTTGTAGAACTCAGTCCTGATTCAAGAACTGCCAAGTCCTGCAACAGTTCTTATAATTTCTAAGCCTTGGTAGAACAACTATCATTTTGGGGTGGCAAAAGCCTCTCATTCTGTCTGACACAGAAAAGCATGGTAGGAAGGAACAAAGCAGGTTTAAACTCCTTAGCAAATCCAGTGTGCCTAAACAGGGTTACAAATTCTTACCTAAGAGAGGCAAGACACACCACAGTGACCCTACAAGGAGGGCCTGGGAGATGAAGGTGGCTAGAAGCAGGCAGCACAGTGCTGCTGCTTAGGAGCACAGGAGGCAATTTATAACCCAGCTCCTAGAGCCCCAGTTTCGATGGAGATGATTCCTGCCAATCAGATTTTTTTTTCCTTTGTGTATCACTAAGAGCTGGGCCCAGCACTAAACAGTCTATGTGCTGACATCCCATTCAGTTCCCAGAACAACACTCTGTGGTGGTACTTTTTTGTCCCTCACTTCATGGTAATCAAAAAGAAAAACAAAATATCCTTCCTCCATACATATGCACACCCCAATAACAAATGGATTTTAAAAAAACAAGTGGAGACTCTATCACAACCATCTTTCAGCACTGCTGGGGGCACTAAATGCTCTAATGAGCATGAACTGCCTGGTAAATGTCTGGGTTCTTCCACAGGTTTTGTCAATTTCTCTCCCACTGGAATCCCGGGATGGTATCAGAGACCACACGCCAAGCTCCTTCCCCATGCCAATCACAGGGCATAATACCCAGAAGAGTAGCGCTCTCTGCAAAGCCAGGTCTGGCCTCATTTCCCCTCCTCCTTCCTTCATCTATCCACAAGTGCATCCAACCTACCACCTGCAAGCTTCTGTAATTTTGTCTTAATATTATAACAATATTTTTTAAAAGGAAGTTTTGTTTTATATATATACACACATATATTGTATATGTGGACCAAAACAATTTCCTTTTAATCAGTATGGCCCAGGCAAGCCAAAAGGTTGGATACTCATGAGTCTATCACATGCAAAACAGACCCACACTCCATCCTCAAAAAGATCTCCAAGCAGCTACTCAGAAAATACCCTATTTTGAAATGTGTAAAAGGAGGTTTCTGAAATGCCAAATGTGAGGGTC